TCTTGTTCCTCGATCGGATGGGCGGATGCGGGTCCAGTGGACCTTTGCAAGTCTCGCGGGGCGTGCTACCACGAAAAATTGAGCCCTGATGCCTCTAATTTGGGTGTGGCTCAAAAGTAAAGAGCTAGGGTTACGCGGTTTTAGTCTTTATTGCCATTTACCAGGGATCCATTTTGGGTACCCACAGCCATTTGCCCGGAAGAACCCACATGCTTATAATTTGGAAGGCCACGAAACCCGAGAGCCCCCACAAGGCCCCCACGTCAGGGCCTCCTGCATGAGTGCCGCCTCAGTGCCTGCTTCCTGGCACACGGAGCCCCAGCTAGAAGGCACGCAAAGTAAACCAGGGCCTTTGGATTGACCAACTTTCTGGGAAACCAAAGGTGACTCAGTGGAAAACATCTCGCAGTTCTTGCAGGTGGAGGTGGTGGACAAGGTCAGTGCCACGTTCGTTGGGCCAGTCCTTCTTGAAGTGTGACAAGAAGATGCAGTGGCCATCTGTCATGAACTTCACCGTCACCTCCGGCCGACAGCCAAGGCGACTTTGTTTGAGCCATGGGCATCGGCAAGGTGTGCTATGCAAGCGTGAAATCGGACTCACAGCGACCGGCTTCAAATATCCAACGTCTGGCTCCCCTCTCTTCCCTCGAACCGATCCTTGCGCAAGGACTTGAAGTCGATCTCCAACGGGGTGAGGTCGGTGCAGTCGTTGCGGCAATGGTGAAGCTGGATCACAACCATCCGCCCGTAGGCGTGCGCTGTACGCGCCGCTTCCGGGTAGGCAGCCACGACGCTGCTCAAGTAGTCCGTGCTGATCTCCAGGTAGATGCCACTTTTCAATACCTGGCAAAGACCCAAAGATAGAGCCTCTTTACTGACGGACCTCTAGGCTGCACAGTGGTTGTTACCTGCGAGCGCACATGCACAAACAAAAACGTACTTACCTACGTGCACATCTTTTCAATTGCAACAAATTATCAAAAAGCTAATTAACTTGAACCGACCAACCGAACCAAACCAAACCGAACCGAACCAACCCATCAGCCAGCCAGCCAGCCAGCCAGCCAGCCAGCCAGCCAGCCAGCCAACCAAACCACGAGACCAAACCAAAGGAAGTCAGCTTCAGCTTGTCTATGCATAGGGGCCTTTCAACATTGACCGGATGGTCCTCTTGTCCCCTTAAACTACCCGAACAAAAGATGGGTACTCCCAGGAAAAACCCGGCCCATGTCTCCCCACGGCCTGCATGGACCCGGTGTGGATCCAGCTGGTCCACATGGCGATCTCGCAGACCACGGTGCCGGGGTCCACCTATACATCAACCCGAGGGACCGAAAACCCCAGGGCCCGAGAGGTGCTGGGTGGAGCTCATGGGACAAACCCAATGAAGCATTCACTCGGGGAATCAGTTTGTTACCCGGCAGGGACACCCCCCCGATTAATAAACTGGGGCTGAGTAATAAGGGGTCAACATTACCTGGTTACGAAATCCCTTCGCCCGTGAAATGAAATCATGGAGTTGCAAAGATGTTTTTTGGGTATTGTGGAATCACATCAGAAACCAGACCGCGTCTTAAGTGGTGCAGGATTTAGTCCATCCGGAGGTCCCAAGATTTGCCCAACCGGTTGGTTTTAAACTTGGGCCAATTATAGCTGAGCTTCCTTTTTGGAGTGATGTTCGAATGGAAAATGTTGGAGCCCTGTAGGAATTTCCTGGAACAGAAAAAACGCAAAGCACAAGCTTTAACACAGCCGAACTTGCAAAATGGCCGAAAAACGCGGGACCTCTTTAGGGACACCAAGCGGGTCTTTGTTGAGGACCCTGTGGTGGACATCCCATACATGAAAAATTCATGTCCAACCATGTTCACCAGTGTCTCAGAAAAAAAATCATAGCCACGTGACGTCCTAGTGAGTTGCTTCATTTGGGAAATAACAAGCGCGGGCACATTAGTAAGGGGCCCGACTTTGGGGGAGCGTACGGCTTAATCTTCGGGCAGGGGTTCCATGTGGGTTTGTGTCCAAATGTCAGACCCCGAGAAACCCAACAGCGGGTGACTTCATAGAAAACTGGGAAGAACTCATTGACAAGAATGGGGGGCCCGGGTTTTTGGAGTGACCCTTCAAATCCATTTTCGGGTTGTTGGGGGTGCAAAAAATCCGTCCACCACGCACCCCTGGCAGCCCCGTCAGCCCTCTCCAACCCCCGCGCCTTGGTCTTCCGGTTCTTGATGTGCTTCGGCGCCAGCAGCTGGCCCAAATGCCCAAGTAGCGTGTGCTTCCTGGCAGGTGAAGTGCCAAACGGTCCGGTGCTCTACTTCAGCTTCCCTCATTTGGATCAGTTTGGAGGTTTGGGGGGTCGTTTGGAAGAAGGACTTCAAATCCAAATCCAAACCAATCCAAACTACCAACTGAGAGTAATCTGATTACTTGTTGTGTTGGTAAGGGAAAACCAGGAAACCATGGCTGGTCGCCCGCTAGCCAGCAACACGCCACACTTTCTGTATGGGGTCTACCAGTTGGGCCCTCTCCGAAACGGCGAAAAGCCCCCAGCACAAGGTTGGCCAAGCATTGTTCAAACATATTTCAAGCATGCGTACCTAACCAATGCCGATCCTCCGAGAAAGGAATCCTGATATAGCCCCATTTCTGCAAACCCTCGTCACCCTCGCGTCGACATTTCTTCCCACCGCTGGCATCAATGTGGGCGCCCAGTCTAATCACGTGCGCCGCGCACCCCCCCCCTCTCCCCCAACGATTGGGAAAAAACAAGAGGCCGGCAAGTCCTGGCTAGCGTATAGCTGAACCTGGGCCAAGGATGCAATGGCTTGGGATACAGATTGTCGAGTGGGAGAATGATATGATTAGAAGAGGGGGCTCCTAAAGTCCAAGTGGCCAACAGACTGGAACAAGATCAAACATCAACATGCTACTTTGCAGCCTTGGACACAACTTCCAACAAACGTTGCTTTGCAAAAGCAACGCATTATTTAAGCATGGGTGGAGTGCAGAATGGCTGAGACTTGTGAAGCTAGTTTGGAAGCGGTCCTGCCTGCTCTTTGCTTGCTACGTCTGCGGGTGCTTCGTGGATTTGCAGGCTGCTGTGAGTTCCTCGTAACCTGGCTATGCCAAAGGTTTCTTTCGCATGTCCTGCACTGGTGCAGAAACCAATCTTTTTGCCTGGCTCATTTCAGCTAAGTCTGCTCTGCCTCCTGCAGCCCTGTCAAACCAGAGCGGTTCCGCTCAAGAGCGCCAAGGGGCACCGGCTAGCACTACGGGCACGTGTTCTGGTGGGTGGCTTGGCACATTTCGTGCTTCCCCGAGTCACTCACCTTCCTTTCAATGCACGGCCCGTGGACCTTCGAGCGAAGGACCCACAAGGCGAAGTGGGAATGTCAAATGGTTTCCCTTTTTGGGGTGGTTCGGTCGTTTCAAAGCGGACCTCGCGGGTTACACATGCCCAAGTCCTATTCTAGGGCACCAAGTGTCAACCGAGCTTTAGCATGGAACCCACCAAATTGTGGGAAACCAGGAACCCCGCTTTCGGGTAACTGGGCCCCCCCCTGAATCTAGCTCCACAAGTAATTCCCCCGTTCGTTCCAGCTGGCGGAGTTGTTTGACCATTTCGGGGGTCCCGGTCCGAATCCCGAGTTGACACAGCTACAGCCTGAAAATTGTCCTCTGAATTTTTCAGAGGGGCTTTTTGTCCAGCTCCAGTGCGATTTCCTGCCCCGAAAATACGCCCCCCGCGCGCGCGCCCCCGCGCCCCCAAAAGCGAAAACCAAGCAACGAGCCGGAGACCGTGACCAGCACCGCGTGCGAGTGGTACCCATCCTGGAAGAGCATGTCGTGGCGCTGGGCTACCACCTGTCCGGGCGAAGGAAGGATCCATGTCGACCCAAAAGCAGCGGAAAGGACGTGCGGGCACGTTGTGCCTCCGATCTGGATGTAGCCTTTAAGGGTACCTCTGGCTGTCTTGTCGGGGTTGACATATACCCTAGCAGTACTTTGTAGCCTCCATCTACGGAAACTCCTTTTGGGGATCGGAACCTTTTAAGAGTGCCAAGACTTTTTGCCTTTTGCAGCCAAAGTTGGGGTGATCATTCTGAACTTTTTGGGGGGCCCTTACATTCCTGACCCACACGTTGCACGGTGCAAGGGGAAAAACCGCTTTTTGGCTATACTGCAATCCTTGGTCCTTTCAAAAACTGACACCTCAGGAGCCCTGGGATGAACAAAGAAACCGACCAACTGGAGCTGTTCTTACCCATCAGGCTCGAGGAAAAAATCCGCGAAATCACCGGAAGGCACGTGACTCCAGAGCGAGCCTCCTCTATACCGTCGATGCAAATATGGCGGAAACAGGTCCGGAACTTGTCCTGCGGCACACATCTGCAGATTTCAGTCCGCATCTGGCAACCGAAAGCAAGTTGATCAACCTAAACCTTCTGCGGCTTGGCATCCTCTGTTGTTTTTAGGGCACGTTACTTCTCAAGACCTTCCCACAGTCCAAAAGCTTGGCCACTCCCCCTGCGCCCTTCCGTCCTGCAGCTCGCGGAAGAAGGTGCTCTTGCAGAGGTGCGGGCCGCGGCTCTCCTCGCACAGGTCCGTCTGCAAGTTCTCCGGCATCTTGTCCAGCAACTTTTGCTCCTGGACCAAGCTAGCGAAACTCCGCGACCATTGTTGGCCCGCAGCGGATACACACGGCTCTAGAACATTGCCGTTACTCCCTGCTAGAGATTAATAGCACTTGCTGGCGAACTGGCTGGCAGAACCTGGCCCTCTTTGGGTATGTCTCAAGATGGGGTGGGGCGCCCACAACAAATGCCAGAAACTAAAAGCAGAGGGGCGAACCGCCGCCACCACTGGTTTGTCATGTTTTCTTCTCACCATGCACACAGCCATGTGAGATCGCATGAATTCGGTGCCTTTTAGTTTGCCAATGGATGGTTGGCCGCCCGCTCCTCCTGCAACTTGCTCTCCAGCCAGGATTGCTGGTA